AGGATGGTCTCGATCTCTTGACCTCGTGATCCACCCGCCTCGGCCTCCCAAAGTGCTGGGATTACAGGCTTGAGCCACCGCGCCCGGCCGGCATCTTTGTGTGATTTTCAGAATTCCTCTGTTTTTCTGCTTTGAAAATTATATTGTGCTATCCCTTGCCCATGTCTGACTGTAATTGTATAGTTCTCAAGGTGTGCTGTAGGCTAAAGGGAGGCAGTATGGGAACTCGTAACAGAATTAACGTCACGAATAGGGATTAAAAAGTGTTACAAGTTCCAAAGCGCCAGTGTTGAAGGCCTGAGGACCTTCTTATCTTTAGGGATTCACGAAAGGAAGCTCCAGGAGTTCTTGGGTGGAAGCTTCTTGGCCCTGGGCACCCATGACCATGAGGTCCAGCCCTAAGCACAGACCCAAAAGGCCCCTGAAAGCTGCCCTCACGGCCCGGGCATGTTCCCTTCCATGGAGGGTCCTCTGTGTTGCCTGAATGTGACTTGAGAATCCCACCCCATACCCACTGTACACGTTAGAGAAAGGGTGTGCATGTGTGTGAGAGTCTGGTCCGTGTGCAGCTGTGCCTGTGAGCAGCAGTGAGCTCTGAGGAACAGGCGGTTCTCGGCACCATGCTGGGCATCTCCAAGAAGCCGTGGGACCACCAGAGCCCAGCGTTCCTTTGCTAGTCAGCCTGCGCAGGGCCACCCCTGAGGGACAGGCACCCTGCCCTGTGCAGATGCTGCAGGGTGGACGCAGCAGCCTGCCACCCGCGCAGTCCTCTGTGGCCTTTTCTCCTAGACGATCGCCCCGTGAGAGAGAGTGAGCGGAAGGCTTCACAGCTGCGTTTTGCATCAGAGGACTCACTGGACTCAAAGGAGAACATCCCAGCTGCTTTGAAAGTGGGCAGGTATGAACAGAAGTGCTTGGACGCCCAGAGTGTTTGACACTGGCCTGCTGCCAGGAGGATTGACTGTGAGTCACGTGCTGTGGGTGCCAGTCTCTGCCAGGAGGATTGACTGAGTCACGTGCGGTGGGTGCCAGTCTCTGTCAGGAGGATTGACTGAGTCACGTGCTGTGTGTGTCAGTCTCTGTCAGGAGGATTGACTGAGTCACGTGCTGTGTGTGCCAGTCGCTGCCAGGAGGATTGACTGTGAGTCACGTGCGGTGGGTGCCACTCTCTGTCAGGAGGATTGACTGTGTCACGTGCCGTGTGTGCCAGTCGCTGCCAGGAGGATTGACTGTGAGTCACGTGCTGTGGGTGCCAGTCTCTGTCTGGAGGATTGACTGTGAGTCACGTGTGGTGGGTGCCAGTCTCTGTCTGGAGGATTGACTGTGAGTCACGTGCTGTGGGTGCCAGTCTCTGTCCAGAGGGTTGACTGAGTCACGTGCTGTGGGTGCCAGTCTCTGTCAGGAGGATTGACTGAGTCACGTGCGGTGGGTGCCAGTCTCTGTCAGGAGGATTGACTGAGTCACATGCTGTGTGTGCCAGTCTCTGTCAGGAGGATTGACTGAGTCACGTGCGGTGGGTGCCAGTCTCTGTCAGGAGGATTGACTGAGTCACGTGCTGTGGGTGCCAGTCACTGTCCGGAGGATTGACTGTGAGTCACGTGCAGTGGGTGCCAGTCTCTGTCAGAAGGATTGACTGTGAGTCATGTGCTGTGTGTGCCAGTCTCTGGAGGATTGACTGTGAGTCACGTGCTGTGTGTGCCAGTCTCTGTCCGGAGGATTGACTGTGAGTCACGTGCTGTGTGTGCCAGTCTCTGTCTGGAGGATTGACTGTGAGTCACGTGCTGTGGGTGCCAGTCTCTGTCAGGAGGATTGACTGAGTCACGTGCTGTGGGTGCCAGTCTGTCCGGAGGATTGACTGTGCATCATGCGCTGTGGGTGCCGGTTGCTCTCCAAGGGCAGGTGCTAGGAGGCAGGAAAGCAGAGCCTGGCCCCTGGGCATGGACTCCGTGGATGGTGGGATGGGACCTCTCTCCTCGATAATTCCTAGAAGTCATTTCTAATATTGAAAGTGTTAAGGTAACGTGTAAAAGCAATCCGGCAAAGGGTTTGTCATGTCCTTCTTCCCAGGGCTGGCAGCTCTCACGTCTGTGGTCGCCTCTAATTCTAGCTTTTGTTTCAGTTACTTTCTCAGCTGCCCATCCAACCAAATCCCATTTCTGGCGGTGAGCACCTTCACCTGGACCCACCTGCCTGGAGAGAGGAGGACTTCTTCCTCCCCGGCCTTTCCAGGACAGTTCTGGGATGTGTCCTGCTTCCCTCCCCATGGCTGGTGCTGGTGAGGCTGCCTAGGTGGACCATGGGTGTGAGTGTGAGC